TCCCTCCCCTCCCCCCCCCCCCACCCTCCCGACGATTTCAGCTGCGCGACTCCCGCAGGGAGCACATCGACGATCTTGCTTAAGATGTGAAGACCGCGTTTCACGAGCACAGACACGTTATCGCGTCCATTCGCACCAACCGTGAAAAACCATTAAGCGCACTGCGAACCGCTGTTTCGCTTTATTCGCTGATAATTTTTATACCGTGAGCATCTGATAATGAATCGAGGCGGCAGCGCGGAATTGAAACGCGACCGACTGTGTCGTGCTAACGATTCGCCGCACCTTCTTGTTCATTTTTCAGCGTGATTATGCATATATATGTGCACGATCAAATGGGATTGATAGAATTGAGATTTTCCAGAATATGAGAAAATGATTGCTAATTGGTTTATTACAAATAAACGTTGCTTCGCGTAGTTTTTCGACGCAACGTTACGTCTTTTATCGCCATAATTGTTAAAATGTGTATATATTTTCGTATTTAAATCCGTTACAATAGCATATTATATCGTATATTATGTATTTTTTGTCTCTAAATGCACCGCAAAATGACTCTCGGTGCGGCAAAGTGGCCGACCATTGTGATCAATATCGAAAAATAATCGGATTCCGATTATACGCGGAGTGCTGTTTTTTTCGTGCTCGATTTGTCCCCCGCTATAATCGGATATAAAACCAATAATTAATCCACCAAAAGTCACAAAGAACGAATTTCGAGAACGAGTCAACGGTACATCCTATTTAAGATTAAGCGATAATAAACGTTTCCGCGCCGACAAAACGAAAGGTTCAACGATTTAAGTTAATTATAGTATCGATCGCGGCGCGATTAACCGGCTAAACGTTTCCTGTCATTTACGTGCCACATTTTTGCTCTCATCAAGTTTGTTAGGGAAAATCGTGTTTAGATTTTCGTCAAGTATGATAAAGACAATTTCGAGTATTTCTGAATTATTGTTTAATGACTTTATAGGAATAAGATTATTTTCTTGAAATAATTTAGGTAAAATAGTTATTTTTATGAAGAAAATAATGGAAACGAATAGCCTCAAAATGTAAATGCTGCAATTTTTAATTCTATAATTTTTTATGACGTGATGAAATAACTGAATATTCATTCAAACTATCCTTATTCGTATGATTGTACAAAATGATAATATAATTTTTCCAAAAATGAAGGATTTTAGTAACGCTTAAAATATGATTATAAAGCGCATATTATATTCATTTCACAAAGCCATTAAATTATCTAACAATATTGTCCGATTAATTATTTACTGATTATTCACAACATAATTTACATTACTTAATTGTTACATTATTGCAAATTATTACCAATTACTACGCTAATTTTGATTAACTTTGGGGAGACCTAATTAAAGATTTATAGTCAAATATGTGAAAAGGAATGTATACAACGTTAAACAGATATCAATTAAGAATCAAATGCGCTGATAATTCTGTTTAAACGTAAAACAAAAGACATTGGTCGCCGATTAATTAAATCAAGAATACACTTTAAATAACAAACTGCGTCTCCTCGGGACGGCAGCGAATAAATGGGGGCTGGTAATCTTTAAGTCGTTATCCGCTCGACGTCCGCACCATCGATAAACAATTTCCAGCGCTCGTCGGGTAAAGGGCGCGTGCTTAGAATAACGTAGGAATGATTACTCCTCACCGGCCACGTTGTTGACACGATGAAATATCTGCAATCTGTCAAAGAACGCGACCGAGGGAGATGCGGCCGATCGAGAAAACGAGTCGAAAAAATTCGCGAGGGGCGCGCCGAACGGAGGGCAAAAAACTCGCCGGTAAATCGTAATAATCCTTTGTACGGGCGTAGCGGCTTGTGCGCTCGGCGTCGGAACATCTTAGAGGAAACCTACGAGCTAACGTTGGCCAATAAGCCGCTTTTGTCGGATCTTCCGGTTGGACGGGCCGGCCGGCGCTCTTCCGGTCGGCCGAGCGCGGAAAATATGGAATACTCAATCCAACTCACCCCTGCCTCCACCTTTTTCGTTTCCTTGTCGTGCATTTGTCGCGTGCATCGGTTTCCCATTTACGACACGAGCCAAGTCTGCTGCCTGCTTATCGCGAGCGGCTGTGCGTCTCTGTTTCCTTCCCTCTGTAATCAAGATGCTGTTAGGAATGCTCGAGGGTGGAACACACACTATTATCGTATTACATGAGCACATATATATAATAATATAATAAAATATATAAATAAACAAATTGAGAAGCATTTTAACTTGCGAACGCGTAACTAAAAGATAAACTCGAACGTCTTGTTAAACGTAGAATAAATTTCAATGTACCACATTTTATCTGACAGTTGCGCGAACAGATAAATAGATTATCTAGACACACACAATTACTACATTGTCACATTGTGTGATACGTTACACCGTTCATTCTATAGAATACTTATCTCGGTTTGGCCGAAATATCTATTGAGTGATTGCGTCGGAGCCGCTTGTAACGACTTAATTTCAATAACTCTTTTCTGTAAAGTTGTCATGGCAACGATTCATCGACATGAAAGAACGTCACGTCATGTAGCCGCAGAACACGATAACGTCAAATATATCAAAATCCGATTAAACTGACCACGTCAATAAATCCATTAGAAAGAGTCGGAAATACGATTTCTATTTCGGTTGCTTAAATAATACGATTTCGTAAGCCATTTTTGCCAGTCGAACGATTCCTTGACAATGCGTGTAACAGAATAACACCAGTTGTGATATTAATACTGGAAAACTGATTTGAAATAATTAATAATTAATGTTATTATATTTATCTATTAATATTATACATAATTAAAGAAGATTGCGCGGCTAATGGATGAAAACGAATAATCAGCAATGTAATATCGATCATTATAGCGGAACAATAAACATTTGAAATTATGATATACAAATCCTATAAACGTTTTAACACTAATTTCCATAGAATGCTAATTTATATTTGTTCTTACGCGGTGTGAAAATAACAATTCAGTGAATAATGATATACACGTATTAATTTATTGCATCAAAATACCGTTTTACATTAAGATATTCTCTCAAAACATAAAAATGTACTTATTAATCTTTCCTATCGCAATGCGAAGTAATCGCGTTGTCGATACTTAAGACGATTAAATTCTTCGGTATTAATGGCACAATAATCCGAAGTGTGTAATAAAATTTAACGACCCCGTCAAATATTAATGTCACGTATACACAGTCGCGAGACGATTTATCGAACTCGCTCGACATTATTCGCTCACTTGTGGAGGAATAGATTGATATATCAGAGAATAACGACGAGACAGAAAAGAAAACTGGAATTAGATGTCCATTAATACTAAAGCAGTGCACTAAAGTAGGAGTCCCGCGGCCGAAGAAATTCCGAAATTTAAAGTTCCAATTTTAAAAAGCATTCATAATTTAAGGACTCTTTTGCTTAAAATACTGAACTTTCGAATAGAATAAAATATAATTTATATATCAGACATGTATATTAGTAATATTATATGTATTTCAAGATTTTATCACTCGCGATCTCACGCTCTTGTTACTGCAACGAAAAGATTTGTACTTCAGGGTTAAATGTTTTCTTCGGTTTTGCTTGTTGTTTTGACGGTGCGAGGATCGCTTCTTTCAGCGCGCGGCCGCTAAGCCGAATAAGCGGAATACCGGGACGGGTATTTGCGATCGAGCAGCGCATTATTATTCCATGAATTTCAATGCAAAAACGCGGGCCGCTTTAACGCGGACGGAAAAGACGCGGGCAATGCGACGCGACCCGCGGAAAGTCCGCATAATCCGCAATTTCGCTCGGTTCACCGCGCTAAGATTTCCCCTTTTGGGAAACAGGAGGCTTCTCACGGCTTAATTTTAACGCCCCTGGGAATGACACCACGTGTCCACGGCGCCACAGTCAGGTTGCTAGTCGTCGGGTGTGCCGCGCCGGTGCCCCGCGTCCGCCGCGAAAACCAGCAACCTTTTTCCCTTAAGAGAAAAACTTCTCTCAATCCTCGAGATTATTTTTCAACTTCATTATTTACATAAGAAAAGGGAAGAACTGTGATTCACTCTTTCTTACTCGTTTTAAATGTATTGCGACGTAAGCAAATTGGTCATTTTTTTAAATGTCCCAAGTCTACGAAATGAAATTGCTCAGACAACCGTAAAAGTTGTTCCCAGAACGCTATTTTAAACAAATATTGCTTTTAAACGGAATAGAATATCTTGATACTATAGCAACGAAATAATTATATTACTTGAAAAAGAGTTAAGTGTCTAAATTATTTATCCTGAAGGAACGAAGGATCATATTTATAATTAAAATCAATCATAAAAGGGAATACGCTTCGTTCGGAAGAAATTCAATCTCGACTTCTGAATGGATTTTAAGTATTCATATAATCTTGTATTATTTACGAGTCTTATCTTATGCGAGTCGAAATTATACTTATAGAAACTTCTTCCGGCAGTTGATTAATCCAACAGCTGTTGGACCACTAGTGATTAAATTTCAAATGCAGTAATTAAATATTTAATTTAACATTGACTTTACCAAGTTATTTTTTACTGCGTATGATGTTACATCTTTCACATAAAATCTGGAGAACCTATGATATTTTTGAATTCCGATCTAGGGAAGAGTTGATCATTTTTGTATAAAAGTTATCTAGATAAATCAATTAACGTACGGACTATTCATCACATGTACGTCAAACAATTCATCTTTTTTTTCTCTTTTTTATGACAAAAGACTCGTATGACAAAATCGTGCCAATGGCGATACCCCGGTTCAGCAGATTTTTGCGTCTGTAAAAAACCCGGACTGAATCGGCGATTCGCCGCGGGCATTTTACTCAAAATTCGTAACATCGCCGGTCATTCCGCTAGTCCCGCGTGCATTCTCCCCCCTGCCCCTCTTTCTCTCTCTCTTGCGGCAAACTTTCGAACAGCGACGGCGCGGCTGCTATCTATGCGCCCGGTCCATCCAATCGGTGAAAGTACCGTGCAATAAAATTGTACGATACGATGCTCGTACGAACAATGCTGTTTCTAACTTTGTTTCGGCGGCGAAGGGTACCACGCAATCCGGCATTTTTTACCGGAAACTGTGGTCTGGAATTTTCGGTATCGACGGTTATGCCGAATCCGACCGATCGCTTCTCGATGCATTACCGGTAGCTCACCGTCTAGATAACCATCGTATCGATCTAGAAACGCTTGAATTTAACATGAAAACATTTTAATTATTTTATTGCTACACGACACATAATTGGCAGGCTTAATATTATTCGTGATAATTCGTAAAATTTGTCTTTACTAAATTCATGATAATCAGTGCAGATACAATATGTTAGAGTATTATAAAATTAATTAAAATCGTGATTTTATTATTATAAGATTTGTACATTGTACTGTTTAGTTAAAAACGATTCTGTTTATTCGCCCATTTTTCTCACAAGAACAGATACATTGAAGTTCTAAAATGTATGCAAATATCCGGTCTTGCCGAGCACGTAAGAACAGAAAAAGGGAGGAAAAGGAGTTAGGATGACCCGGTCGCCGTTCCGGACCAGGTCCGATCTTCCCATTCGTCCCAAAATACTCCGTGCGGAATAAGTCTCGGCCGTTGCTCACCGCGTTACCTGCTTTTCTGCTCCATTATCTTGGCGCGCCGATGTGTCTTGTCCGACGCGGCCGAAATAGAGCGCCGGAGCGCTGGAAGCGCTCGCACGTAAGAGATAAACGCGCGCGTACGATTTTACGATGGTCCATTCGACGCGCCTATGAAAAAAATGCACGGAACTGCTCGGACGTTACGGCGCCGAGAGACGCGCGAATCGTACGTGCGCGCGGCTACGCTGTCATATATACACATACATACACACATACAGATGACACACACTGATGATCGTGTATTATTTATTTATTTACCTCATCGATAACGTTAGGAAGAAGCCGGTAGTGGTAGTACACTTTTCCTCGGCCCTGGCCAGGGCTTCTCGGGCCTTACGTGCTCGACTTTCGTAATGCGATGTTTATCCTCTCACCGTAGCCATGAATACGCGTGTTGCCCCCGTACGTGACCGGATGCAACGCGCGGTCTCGTGCTCGACGAACGAACGTTACGATGCGAATATCTTCGATTTACGCTGTGCAGTTACCCGCGTTTACCGTTCGCTGCTCGTTATGTAGGAGGCATAAAAATTTATTCAGAATATGTTTGATTAAATCTATCGATAAAATTCTATGAATATCGGTCTCCCAGTCTCAAGGCATCAATAAATGTCCGAGCACGTCGGGGTAAACTTTTTTATACTACTGAAGTCTCGTAAGCGATATGAATCTTCATGCAGAGCGACAGATGTTTGAACAAGTGTATCATAAAAATATGAAATAAACCGTTCTAGTGTTAACAAATTGTAAAATTGTTTTGCGCAAAAAAAAAACTTATTTAAATCACAAATAAGAGTTAAAATTGTCTTTAATATGCGCTTCATTTATGCTCTATAAAAACGCGAACGTGGGTTTGCCGCTTCGAGATGTTAATAAATGTCCGAGCTCGTCGCCGAAGACTTTTCCACGCTACTGGAGTTTCATGGCGCAAGTGGTACGACCCTTTATGCGCGGCGACAGGTGTACCTGGTTGTATCGCGTAAGAAACGAGCGCATCGACACGTCGTGGGAATTATAAAACTGCTCGTTTTCATACCGCTGCATTTTTCATACGATCAGCAGAAGGGAGAATAATTTCGCGATGGAATAATAAAAAAATGTAGAATCCCGATCTGATCGAGCCAGAAAAGATCAAAGTGGAATGAATACTAATTATGATCGGATCGTTAAGCGTACATGTTATCGGCCTAAATTACGCATTCATTCTACGTAAGCAGAATGGTTACTCGTTACGAAACGGATATGAACGACGAGGATATGTGAGTTCATATTTCGCGGAAAACGAATCACATGAAAATAATAAAAATTGTAGAAGTTGAAAGTGCTACAATTTTCGAGAATTCAGATTTCCACGCTATAAACGAGAGATAAAATAACGATTTAAATCGTTCCATTATTTTATAACGTTATATATATATAACGTTATATATTATACGTTATA